AATTTTCGAAGTCATTATGGGATGTGAAACGAAATCGAAATATTGTATTCTTAATACCATTTCGAAGTATTCACTGTCTAATTTTCTATGTCGTTATAGCGTACGAAATGATCAATCGTATCAAATGTTACGACTTGTCAAAGTAGGCTATTCAAAATTAGTATTTCAAAAATTCCGATAACATGCTTGTTAACCCCAAAAAATGAATCAACAGATGTCGGACCCACTCACACCAAGTCAATCACGATTCCGATGCGTTCTTACGTGAATGATGACGGTAGCGAGGAGGAAAATGGATGCGGGAGGTACTTTGTGGCGAGAGACAAAAATGTTAGAGTTCCGTCGGGTGGAACAAAAGTAATTGCACTAACAACGATTGCCGGGTTGAACCAAAACTAATTTATGTAACCATAAACAAGAATATGTGGGAGGATAGATAAAATGTTCATATGTTTTCCTTTTTTGAATTCAAGTGTCCATCCCCTTTTGTTATTTGTCTCTCTTTTTATATATATCACCTTGGCCGACGTGGTGATCGTTGGATCAGAACCACGTAACCTCATCTCCTTAATTGGGGCATCACATCATGGTCTATTCATACATTTAATACATTGACAATGGGTCAGCCACCATAGGTTGACACACTGACAACTTTATTACAAGCGTTACATCAATTACTTCGGAGATATCCTCGTCTTTACAAGGAAATATCGTCGATTTTGTGAGCCTCGGATGAACTTGAGTACCTCAGAGAGATCCGAGATGGTTCTCAAGTGGAGGACGTCAGCTTCTTTCCCAACTTCTAGTCATGCAGTGTGAGGACTTCGGGCGCTGTGTAAGGACCTCAACCTTTTGACTTCTTTTGTGTGTTTGACATACTAGGTCTTCTTTTGACTTTCTTATTGACTACATGCCCACGTGTCGTGCCACGTGGCCTCGTTTCACTGGGCCTCAAAATCGATGGGTAACAATGCTAATTTTAAAAATTCTACTGCGATCATACACTAATCGAATCTACAAATTACTTATGTCTACTCAAAACTTATTTCGAGAACTAAATAATTGGCAAATCGAATAGTCCAAACAGATATCGAAATTAGTTAAAAATACGTTAAACTTGAGTCT